CATGGTGGCGGTTCTGATGGCTCCGATTCCCGCCGGATTCGCCTGCGCCGAGGCCTGGCCCTCCTGCAGCCCGCTTCCCGCCGCTACTCCAGGCATTATATCTTAACTGAATGAGATAACAAGGACCAAGGGCATAACTCACCTGAGTGGATGATAGTTGGGGCCTCTCTGTTCTCTGCAGATGATTGTATAGGTTGTAATATTGGGAGGTGTGGGGTAGAGCATTTGTGTGGTTGTGGTAAGGAATGAAGCTGTTTAGGTTTCTAGTGTTGAATATGTCTAGTACACTGTCTCTTCTAGGACAAGGATCCCATTATAGTTTACATTAATTATATCCTGAATTTATCAGGATTGGCTTCCCTAGCACTCAGATCTTAAGTTCTTTATATTTTAGTCACCCTTCTTCTGGTTTTATGTTCTTCTATAAGACTTGGACACATGAATTTCTGTCCCAGAGTTGCAGGAGAGGTAAGACTCTTGGTTCTCAACCTTCCTAATGCCGCGATCCTTTAATACAGTTCCTCATGTTGTGGTGACCCCCAACCATAAAATTATTTTTGTTGCTATTTCATAACTGTAATTTTGCTACTGTTATGAATCGTAATGTAAATATCTGATATGCAGGATGTATTTTCATTGTTCGTGACCCACAGGTTGAGAACCGCTGCTTTAGAGGAATGTTACTAGGAGGAGATCTAGGCTCATCAAAGAAAAGGATCCTCTTCTTCCCTTGCAATCTATCTTTATAAAAGGCTAATATGCTAGCCCTAGCTGGTTTGGCTTAGTGGATAGAACGTCGGCCTGCGGACTCAAGGGTCCCAGGTTCGATTCCAGTCAAGGGCATGTACCTGGGTTGCGGGCACATCCCCAGTGGGAGATGTGCAGGAGGCAGCTGATCGATGTTTCTCTCTCATCGATGTTTCTAACTCGCTATCCCTCTCTCTCTCCCTTCCTCTCTGTAAAAAAATCAATAAAATATATTAAAAAAAAAGGCTAATATGCTCAGTGTCCTTCCCACCTTCTGAACAGTTGCTATGGCACGCACTCACCACTAGGGGGAAAATGCTCAATACAGCTGCCATGATGCACACTTGCCATTTACAGAGAAATGGCAGTAAGGACTTGGCCCACAAAGCAACACTCAGCTTCCCCCAAGTCTGACACAGTCCCCACCACCACCCCGGAGTGACACCCCGCCAAATCACAGCTGTAGCTGCTGCTGAGACCCCATGGCCAGCCCAGAAATGGTAGCTGTGGGCAGCGGGTAATAACGTCACATAGCAACACCCAGCTTCCTCTCCCTAGAGACTAGCCCCCTTGCTATTTCTCCACCCCAGTAAAATGACTTGCTTTATAGCCAAGTGCAAACACTTTACACTATAACCAAATGTCTAAAGTGTTTTCTCATGCCTCATCTCATTTGATCCTCACAGAAGTCCTGGAGTAGGTAGATAGGAGACTCGGTGGAATCCTATTTTCTTTTCATTAGCTCGAAAATGGAGATTTAGTAAGCTTAGAAACTTGACCTGACTGAAAAGAAGTAATAAATGGTAGACCTTGAAAATGACTTCAGGTTTTCTCACTGCACAGAATATAGTCAAACACTGCTGCAGTTAAATATTTTACCCTTTGTTCTTCCTGCGTGATCTACAATAGTAATGTGTTTTGTGTTGATATTTACTGCTGTGTTGTTGACAATTACCTGAAAGAGAAGTTGGGGTGCTTCACTGGGCTGGAAAAAGTTTAGCTAAATCAGAAAGTAGGTCTAATTAAGCAAGTTTATTCTATCCTATATAATACAAGCCCAGCAACCGAATGGCAGAATGACCAGGGCCCCTTGCCCGGCTGGCCCTGCCCCCAAGCAGGCCTCCCTCACCCTGATCGAGGGCGGGGCTGGCCAGCAAGCCACCCACAGCCCTTTGCCCCAGCCTGTCCTTCCCCTGAGCAGCCCCCAACACCCCCAAATCACTGCCTGGCTCCCTGGTGCATGTACATTTAGTGAAAGCACAAGGAAATAATTATCAGTCCCTTCTGTCCCCAACCAGAGTCTCCAGAGGGCTCTGCAAACCCTGCAGCCAAGGTGTGGAATTCTCCCTCTATGGCCCGCAGCCCCAGGAGACCTTCCAAGTTAGCCAAAAAGGTGACCTAAGCATTAACAGGATGGCGGTCCTTTGCTGAGGAATGTAGAGAGTCTGGGTGGGGATTTGGTGAAATTGTGGGGCCTTGCAGATTAGGTGAGCTTTCAATCTCTCTTTAAAAGGGGGCAGCGAAGAGGACCCACAGGCTTCCAGGAGCAACAGTGAAGAGTAGGCACATTCAAAAATAGAAAAACTTTTAAACAAATAGACATGAAGATCATATTGGGAAACTGAGGGCAAAGCCCTGGGATTAATGCAAAAATCATTCAAAGGCCATCATCCATCTTGATATACGTTTGCAAACAACACAGAAACAACTTCATCTCATGGCATGTGAAATGCAAAACAGTTCTGTTGTGGGTTTTCTTTTGGCCATCCTTAAAGTATAATTAGATCCAGTGGGTTGGGGGGAGCTACAGCTTCCAGCATTAGACCCCATGGCCAGCCCTGCCTTATGGGCTCCCATTGGGGCGGGCCTGCTGGACCCAACCTGTGCATGAATTCATGCACCGGGGCACTAGTTTGCTCATAAGAAACATTAACCTCCACAGAAGTTGGTGGGTAGAAGTGAGTGTGCACACACCCAGTATTTATGAGGTTCCTGGACATTCCGTGTGGTGCTGCAGACTGATAAAGTGCTGGCTCATTTAGCATTGATACTTTTATTGGCAACAACAGGGTGTTGTGTTGTGACACCAGAGCATGGGGGCTGCATTTCTACCAGCTGTTTCTGATTCTCAACCAATAATGTAATATTGATTGTAGAAAATGTGGTAGTAGACTCCAGGTGCTTGCTTATTGGAAGGAATATTGTATCTGGTTTCTTGTAGTTCTGATGGATTCTTTTCTCTATTCCACACATTAAGATCACTAGGAGCCTTTATTGTTTAGCTGACAAACCCCAATGCATCCAACCGCTTCCTACCACTCATTGGCTTAACTCTATCCACTCATTTATTTCTTATTAAGAAGTTTCAGGCTTTCTTTGGATTATGGTGGGCCTAGTTAAAAACAATCTAATTGAACAATTTCAAAGTACTGAACAAGGCAAAGAAGTTCTCTCTAGGCACTATTTCCAGAGTAACAAGAAGTTTATTACTTCCAAGGCTGTCTGCCATGACTCTTGCCACTTGCTGTAATTTTGCATCTCTTTTAAAATAGCCTGGACTGACTGAATGAGAATCATAAGGCATACTTGAGTCTTTTTATTTTTGGGCAATCAGATGCCTAACCAGGGTTGAATACCTACTAACAAGCAGCCTGGCATTTGGATCTATCCCTATATCGGACACACGATAGGGGCCCCCTTCCTTCCTCCATAAGCTAAATCCTTGCCTAGTTTGTTTCTAAATTTTGCCTAGTGTTCAGCTCCAGATACTAACAGGTAACAAGAAATTCTTAGCAGATTTTCAACTTATTCTTTCTTTTACTTTCTAGATCAGACTTGTTGTGGAAGAGGGATTGAATCAGCTGCCTTATAAAGAATGCACGGTGACCACTCCAACGGGTAATCACAGCTGTTACTGTAATATTTTTCTCATAAAAATTCTGAGTTAGAATTGGGGGGAAATGGAAAAAAAAACAGCCTGCATAAATTAGTATGCAGAATGTGGAGTCCAGGTGGAGCTGTTTTTTTAAACAACTTAATAAACCTAGAGACATTTAGTAAAGAAATTTATGTGGATGACTTTTTGTTAATGGCTTGCTTGTCAATTTAAGTTAAGGGTTAATAAATATTCTTCAGCATGCAGGTGATGCCTTTGATGACAGCCCATTGGGACCAGAGTTAAGAATTACTGGCAATTTATCTTCATCTCTGCAGGGAAGCAAATGGGTGGACTGGTTTGGCATTAAAACTCCAAATAAAAGGATTAGAAGTAAAAAAGAAAAAGAAAAATGATGAGAATTAGAGAAGGTACTTTGTGCTACTAAAATAGAAAGCAGCCAAAGATCCTTGTTTCAGGGATTTAAAATTCTGGTTTGGTTTTTTAGTAAATAATGGAAGCTGTTCTATTCAAAGTTTGACACTAAATTGGGAGATGAGCTTGCTGCATAATTGAAACAGATTCAGGATGAGACCAAGAGTTGTACATGTCTTGGTAATGATTTCCGTCTCTTTCTTTTGCTTTTAAAGGCAGAATGGAGGCTCATAAAAGGGACAGAATGAGGAGGCTCTCCGCTGTGGCTCCAGTGGGTGCTGGTTGAATTGATGGTGTTTATAGCATTCTTGGAGAGCAGTGATTCTCTGAATTCAATTTGAGGAATATGTTTGTGAATATTATGCTATCATATGTCCTATTCCCACTTGATGAAGTCCACCTCCCCCAATTATCCACACAGGTTTCTTATTAATAATTAAGAAATAACTATGAAAAGTCTTGACTCTTCTCATTACTTTCACAGGGAACCTAAGACATTATATAGTATGTCTGGACAAGGATTGCTCAGTACCCATCTGCTTTACACCATAGGGACTTTATAAAATAAGTAGGTTGTTCCAATGATGAAAGATACATTCTTTGGATTTATTTTCAACAGGGTACAAGTATGAAGGAGTGAAATTTGAGAAGGGAAATTGTGGTGTCAGCATTATGAGAAGCGGTAGGTTCACATATGTGTGATATTGTCCATTTGCATGCATATAAACACTTGCTGTTTCCCAGGAGAGAAATGAGATTTTCTGTCACAATTGAAGCATGCTTTAGCTTAAATCTCACTGTGTTGTTTATCCTCATGGTGCATTGGAATTGTGGCCTGTGTGTTGCTGAGTTTGGCTAATTTTAACTGCAGAACATCTTCCCTAGTGGCCTGCCCCATGGGCAAGCCAGCTGGTAGGAATGTAGACTGGTGCAGCCACTATGGAAAATAGTGTAGAGTTTCCTCAAAAAATTAAAAATTGAACTGCTATTTGACCCAGTGATCTCACTTCTAGGAATTTATCCTAAAAGTTCTAAAACACCAATCAGAAATTATATATGCACCCCTATGTTCATAGCAGCGCTATTTACAATAGCTAAGATCTGGAAACAGCCCAAGTGCCCCTCAGTAGATGAGTGGATAAAAAACTGGTGCATTTACAACATGGAATATTATGGTGTAAATGTACC